GGCACTATTCAGTACCTAAGTCTTATTTTGGGGCAGAAAATAAAACAGGTTTCTTCCTTTCCAAACAGAAAACTGGTAAAATGTTATGCTTTTGTTAGGTTTCTACAGGTTTTTTTTTTGAATGTCTAGGTGATACATGGGCACAAGAAAATGCCTGTGTTTCCTTTTTTTGAAGTGAACATAGTAAGGAACAGTTTTTACCTCATAGCAGGTGTGATTATTGCCTATTTTGTTGCATGACTACAACTGAAGTGAGTTAAATAAAACTTCCAACATTCCACTCAGACTTTTCCACACCTTGAAGAAAAAAGTGAAAGATTGGCTGTGGTGTAGACATTAATGAAATTAATTCCATGTCAGTGATTAGCTAATGGTTACTTATATTTCTGCTTTATTAGACTCATCAAAATGATTTTTAGAACAGAGAGTGGTTACAGACAGAGGTCAATAGTAAACAACACTGAACAAAGAAAGTGTGATGTGCTTTTGTCTTAACATCAGAATGACTTATATTTGTGAGATGGGAAGAACAGCTCCCTTATGGAATGTTTTTCATTATTTTTCATTTTATCTTTCCCTGACTAAATCAGAATTATTGTTAGAGTTTTAAAATTCTGTCCCAGTACTTGAACTGAACTAAGTCACCAACAAAATGAAAATTCAAATATTCATAAGGAAAATTAAGACTTATCGAGTAGTTGCAAAGCACAGATCTTCAGCTTTTGGCCCTTATGAAAGAAGAAATTAATCTGACATTTTCATTGAGTTCCCCAGCTCTGCTGTAAGCACTTAGGTGGTTTTGCCCTAGTCTTCATGTGGATAAATGTGCTGCTGAAAATGTTATCTGTTTGTGCTACAGTACATGTTAATTAGTAAATTTAGTTCTCGTTATAATCATATGTTTAACATAATTTTGAAGTAGGTAAGCTTTAAAAATATGTCTTAAATTTCCAGTATCATGTAAGATGTCTTTCTTGATCTTTAAGTCATATTTGCTCTCATTTAAGATCATTGTTTCTTGTGCTATCCCTTGTGGGCATGAAGAAGGCTTATTACAACAACCTTTTACATAGTTGAAGGCTGTTATCATGTCTTTCCTCAGTCTTCTCTTTTTTAGACTAAACAAGCACACTTCTTTCTAGACTTCTGATCTCGTTTGTTAAACTCCTCTATGCTTTCTCCAGTTGATCCACCTCTTTTGTGGTTAACAGCTATCATAAAAAATTACCTCCACTAATATCAAGAAAGTAATTCAAGAATGTGGGTATTTATGAGAGAACTGTGGTCACTTGCTCACAGATGAAAAGTCCTCTAAAGGACTTTTAAAGTCATAGGAACCCAGTCTTGATGAGCTGAGGGAGCTTTTGAATTTCCCACTGGATCTAGAAGCAATCTCTACCTCAGCAATTACATGGTCTTGTTGGACATGTGCCCAATTTATGAAAATGCAGTATTTTTAGATTGCAAATATATGAGAGAGCTTCTCATTTACCTTGCAGACAGTAAAAATTTTAAGTAGGCTGTGATCAGATATCTAGGAATAAATACTACTAATGTATATGTATGGTTTATATGTAGAAGAATATGTGCACTAAGTATTATTATTGTATATATGATATGCATTCCTAAAAAAGGGTTAAAAATCTCCTGTGAATCATATGGTTGAACTGTACTGAGGTACACAGGACTTGCTTATATAAATAAAAGTAATACAGAATGCTTTCAGCAAAGATTTTTGGTCCTCTTTATAATGTGCCTTTTTTTAAATGTAAGATAACCCCATTTTTTTTGGTTGGTTGTCCCGTATTTCTCAATACATAGATAGTATGAGGTGATTGGTCATTTTCATAGTTCTCATCAGAGATTTTATAGGACAATTGCTATAATGAAGTTTGATGTTCTTGATAGACCGTAGTCAAACATTCTATATGGTCCTTAATAGAACCACAGGGAAAAGTGAGTACAGACATGAACAATGAACAAGCTGTTTGAGGTAATCCGTTTCCTACCTGTGTATCTGTTATTCTCAGTGAAGGCATGTCTGCTTAATTGCATAAGTATACACTTAAAATTGAGGAGAACTCACATCTACATTGGACCTTACCTGAGGTGGACATGGATAGCTTTGTTTTTATCTAGGGGAGCTGAATGGTTCTGGAAATATTTTGTGAATTTTAAATGCTAAATTCAGTTGTTTTTCTTTGCTGTCAAATGGTTAAAGCTTAAAAGGCAATCTGGATTAGTAACTGTCTTTCAATACATGTAAGTGGTCAATTTAGTTTAAACAACAGATGGTTGATGGAAAAGCTCAACTGCCTCCTGAAGCTGCCTGTGTCAGTCTATTTTGATAGTTTATGTCCCAAAAGTGATTTGGGACCTTGTTTTCAGAAAATTTGTGCAGACTAATATTAGTGTATAATGTTTGATGGGAGGGAAAAATCATGACACCAAGAACACTGTGTTGCTTGGTGATAGAAGAGTGCTTTATACTTTGCCCAGCATATGTAGCCTTCAGGAGTATACTTGGTCAACTGACTTAAATCTAGAAGCATAACAAGCAGTCACATCACAGCACACTGTGCTTGTCAGTTAAAATAATTATGGATTTTAAGACCAAGAAGGGCCATTAGATCATTAAGACTGGTCTCCTCTCAATATAAGCTTTATTTGCTGTCTGTGTACAAAGCCCACTAACTTGTTGGAGGTAAATCTTTTAGAAGTTGCCCTGCCTTTATCTGTGGGCTCAAAAGCTTTCTTACAATGATTGCTTATTCTAATGATTTGTCATTGCATCTGCTAAAAAATTACATTACTAATTTGAATTACTTTGGTTTTACACTGCACCAACAAACTAGTCTTAGTATCTAGTATCTCTCTCCTGCAAAAAGTTCTTATAACTTCAGTTGTTACAATCAGATCACCTTGGTACCATAAACGAACTAAAATGTTTCTGTCTCCTGCTGTATATCTTCCTATCTTCTGAATCCTTTATTTTTGCACCTTTTCTGATCCCCCCACACTCATAATAGCCTCTTAAAAATTTGGATGTAAGGATTGGATGAAGTATTTCAACATCAGCCTTAAAAATGCCATTTACAGATTAAAAATCCCCTTGTGACTCACACATTCTTCCCCCCTCCTTCCAATTCTCTTGTTTTTTGGATAGGCACCAAAGAGAACAGGACAGGAGGGCATTTCTCATACCATCTCTGACAAGCATCCAACAAATGCCTGCATATTTGGGGCTGAGAATCCCCAGTGGGATCACAAGGGATTCAGAACAATTGAGTGGTGATACCTTACACTGGAGAGTATCTTGATCTCAGAAATGCTGAAGTATTTTACAGATCCCCCATTCTACTTCCCTGTCTCCTTCAAATGCCTTTCTGATGTTTTTCACGTGCACCTTCTCTGTCTTTTCTCACAGCTGTATACTCAGCAAATATCTGGGATATTTCACAAATATTTAGTTAAGAATTACTGCATGATGGGAGTCAGTACCAGTCCAAAAAGAATAGGTTGGCATATGAGAATGAATAGGCATGCTGAAGGATTCCAGAGGCCTGCCATTAATGTGTTGATCACAGAGATATAGCAGCCTCCAAAGTGCAGGAATTCCTGAAGCAGGGAAGAATTTTAGTTTTGTAGCTTGAACAAGGACTTTATTTAACAGCTATACCTTTGTCTGATCATCAAGTAGGAGAGTTTTGGAAGTAGACTTTGAATGTTATCAATTGTTTTAACTTCACAGTGATAGAGCTGTACTTTGTTGAAAATACGTAGTTGAAACTTTAATGCTAGGAGTAGTGGTAATATATATGTATTTTCATCCGATTTGGAGAAAATTTAATGCCTAATAAGTGGGTGTTTAGGTAATGCTGCAGTGCAGCAATTCTATATGGTCAATTTAGGACGTTTCTGAGATCTTCCCTTTAACTTTCCATTACTGTCTTCTACTTTCATGGTATTTTTGTAATCTCTTTGATAACAGCTGCAAATGTTGCACAGATCCTGCAGCCAAGAAGACAGAAACTCCCTAATAAGGCTGCTTGTACATTGATTCTGTGAGTTGTCGGCAGAAAGAATGAAATTACAAAACATGAACCCAAGTGAGATTAACAGAGGACATGACAGCCAATAAACTTGGGGGTGCAGACCAATATCTAGCCTCAGGGTGGAAAACACACAGTTCCAGGTTGAGAGGTAAGGTGACT